CAACGTGTCAACTTCCATTTTCCTAATGGCGACTAAGGTAAATTTGCCGTCCTGGTTTTGTGAAGAAACCATTGGGGAAATATTATTAATGGAAAACCCAACATAGGGCCTTGTTGTCATATAACCTTTTTTTGGCAAGTTTGGAATTTCGCCAGAAAGAAAATTCAATTTCTTTTGGGAATTATTATTAATGGCGCCCGACGTAATGGCACCAAAATTAGTAAGGAATTAGTGACGCAATGGCGACCACTGTGAATTTGCCATTCTGGCTTTGTGAAGAAACCATATGGGAATTACTATTAATGGCGCCCAACGTAGGGTCTGCGTCATGAAATAATTGGCGCCCAACATGGACCTTCTTCGTTATTTCATCTTATTTCCAAATCTACATTTTCACAATTAATAAAAAAATTAGTGTCGGAATGGCGACGAACGTGAATTTGCCGCTCTGGCTTTATGAAGAAACCATTTGGGGAATTATTATTAATGGCGCCCAACGTAGAGTCTGTGTCATCATAGCAATTTTTTTGCAAGTTCGGCTTTTCGCCAGAAAGAAAATTCAATGGCAATTAGGAATTATTGTAAACGGCGCCCAACGTAAGGCCATTTTTTGCATATTTCCGTTTCGTCTAGAAGAAATTTGTTTTTAATTGAGTGCTATGAAAAATATGTATACATATATGGCGTCCAACGTATGGTTGGATGTATTATTAAGCGTAAAACTTCCATGATTGTCATCTTGCTTTCCTTGGAGAATTTGACTAAATTTCTAAGAAGCCCTGGGCGCAAAGACGGTCTAATCCCCGTCCTGTAAAACAATCGACAGATTGTTTGGGTTTGGCTTTCTTCTAGTGGGTTATAAAATTCAAGTTGGGCGCCATTTGGAATTTGTTTTGTAGTAAAATAATCAAAGGTCACATCTGAAATTAACTGAAAATATGAAAAACATAAATGGCGCCCAACATGGGCCCAACATATTTTTAACTGTTTCCTACTGCAAATTTGTAGAACTTGCAAAGCAATTTGAACTACTCTTGACAATTTATTTTTGGATTTTTAGTGTTTGCTAAAATTCAAGTTGGGCGTCATTTGGAATTTGTTTCTAGTATAATATTCTAAGACCAAATCTGAAATTGCTGTAAAATTCAAAACATATTATTTTATGAACTGAAAGTATGAAAAACATAAATGGCGCCCAACGTTGCCCAACATATTTTTTTCTTCTCTCCCCTGGAAATCTGTAGAACTAACTTGCAAAGCAATTTAAACTAACTCTTGGCAATTTATTTAAAATGTTTACTACCACATCACATTCCTCGCATTATCCTGCTCCCACCATATGCACCATACCCCCTTTTTTATATTCTGCAAACATTTTTTGTCAACTTATTTTGATGGACTGTAAATGTGCGAGGATTTGCATACTAATTAAAAAAGCCCAAAAGAGATAGAGTGGACGAGAAAAAACAAAACCCGCTAATAGCTCTACGTAAACAAAGGTGATAATCATGCAAAGCAAACAAAATTGACAAACAAACAAAAAAAAACAGAACTGAAATGGAAATCGCAGTCGAAAAGGAAATGATTTATTTCCCCCCGGCAATTTTTTTATAGGGATCTCTTTGTTACCACCACAAAAGTGATAGTCATCCAAACTCAACTCCATAGAGGGTTAACAAGGAATTGTTGACAGTCATTAAGACTTGTCGTCATTAAACACCAGGCTACAGAAAAAACACAGAACACAAACACGGGACACAGCACAAGCCAATTTTTAGTCACGAAGTAAAAAAAAAACGCTCAAATGAACAAAGGAAAGGGCGTTGTCTGTTTGTAGTTCGCAATGGTTTTTGGTTTGTTTTTGCTATAAAGATGATGATTATGTTTTGGCGGAATGGCGGATAATCGGGAGCTATGTTGACTTAATATTGGAAGGAAATTAAAAAATTGACGAAGGATTAGTTTTAAATAATCCTTAGAAAATACTCTTTAAAAAGATACATGACATAGATATGCGGTGAAAAAATATATTTTTTAAAAAAATCTACGCCTTGTGGAAATTTGAAAAAAAAAATATTTTTAAAAAATCCGAAGCCTTGTGTGATGTTTTTCTGAGGAGCCCAAACTGCCAAGAGCATCTGATTTTGCGGAGACACCAATAGGCTTCTTAAAGTGAGGAACTTCTCCGTAGACTCTTACACATCAATCCTGCGAACTTTCCGAAAAATTGGGTTCTAGCAACTAACTTATGTCCTGCCGATGTGGCAACTCCATTTCAAATGTGGTATTTTTCTCAGTTCAGTATATACGGTCTGAAAAATAGAACGTTATTACTATGTGTTATAATTGGCGCCCAACATGGACTTTCTTCATTATTTCATATTATTTTCAAAATTAATAAGGAGTTAGTGTCGGAATGGCAACTAACATGAATTTGCCGTTCTGACTTTATGAAGAAACCATTTGGACAATTATTATTAATGGCGCCCAACGTAGGTTATGTGTATTCATATAACTTTTTTGGCAAGTTTGGTATTTCGTCAGAAAGAAAATTCCATTGCTTTCAGGAATTATTGTAAATGGCGCCCAACGTAGGGTCTGTGACATGAAATAATTGTCGTCCAACAAGGACCTTCTTCATTATTTCATCTTATTTCCAAATCTACATTTTCAAAATTAATAAAGAATTAGTATCGGAATGGCAAATATAGGGTCTGTGTCATGAAACAATATATTTTTGCAGATTGGTAATGAATTAGTATCGGAATGGCGACTAAGTGTATTTGCCGTTCAGGAATTTGCCTTGTAGAAACCATTTGGGGAATTATTATTAATGGCGCCCAACGTAGGGTCTGTGTCATATTTTTGCAGATTTACATTTCGTCTTAACGAAACTGGTTTTTAATTGAGTGCTCTATGAAATGAAAGTGCTCTTAAAAATGGCGCCCAACGTATGGTTGGATGTATTATTGAGCGCAAAACTTCCCTGATTGATATCTTGCTTTCCCTGAAGAACTTGAGATAAATTCTAAGAAGCCCTGGGCGACAAGACGAACGAATCCCCGTTCCGAAGAACTGCTTAAAAAATCCACGCTTGTGGGCTACTGAACCCTCTCAAAAACTGTTTAAAAAATCCACGCTTGTGGGCTACTGAACCCTCTCAAAAACTGTTTAAAAAATCCACGCCTAATGGGCTGCTGAACCCGTTCGAAAATTGCGTCAAATATCCATGCCTTGTGGGCTACTGAACCCTCTCGAAAACTGCTTAAAGAATCCACACCTTGTGGGCTACTGAACCCTCTCGAAAACTGCTTAAAGAATCCACTCCTTGTAGGCTACTGAACCCTCTCGAAAACTGCTTAAAGAATCCACGCCTTGTGGGCTATTGAAGCCCCTCTATATCTATATTGTGGATATTCGAAAAAAATTAAAAAAAATAGGTCTTGTGGATATTTAAAAAAATCTACGTCTTGTGGATATATGTTTTCAAGTAACCCAATGTGAGGACCATAAAATAAATTTTCAACGTTAAAAAAATTAACAAGTTGGGCGCCATATTCTTTGTATGTAAAAAATCGTTACTCCGGAATGCGAAATAACAACTTCTTTCATTTTGTAATCCATCTGATTGTAATCCTTCAAATTTTTACCTCTAAGGTGTCTTTTTCTATAGAAAAATCCCCTCAGGTCCCTCTGAGGTGTCTTTTTCTATAGAAAAATCTCCTCAGGTCCTTGAAATGCAATACCTGCAGGAACTTTCTATGGCTCTGAGATAAAATAAACCTAACCCAGTAACCCTAACTGATGTTAAGATATTCTGGCTAAGTAGTGCTAAGATTTCCATTATATTTTCCATGGAAAAAAGAAAATCATAAACCATCCTTGCATACACGTGATTACTATGTATTATCATGTTCCATCGTGCCTTCGACATTAAATGTCATGTCGTAAATATTTTGCCATAGTCATAAATTTCATTACCATTTGACCGGGTGGCTGGCAGTTTGGCAAGTGCTAAACTTGGTGCTGTCGACAGAACAAAGTCCATAAAATATTGGAAAACATGTAACTGTTTATTAACAACAACTACAACAACAACCAGGGGAGAAAAAATGGAAAATGCTCTTAAGATGTCAAAAGAAAAGAAAAAAAAAACTAAAACGAATACAAAAGGATTTGGTATCCGCTTAAAATGCAGCGATTTGCAGATGGTCCGATTTTCGTTGGCGCGATTAGATTCAGGTGCGATTTCCAAGCTTTGTCGGAGAGTAGATACATTATCGTAACAAGATAAAATATGAGACAGTTTTAAGTGCCAAAGAAGATGATAGAGCATGGTCAGCTGGATCGCTGGCTGGCCGGGCAGGCAGACAACAGCAGCGGTATCTGTTAACTTTACATGAAATAATAATGGCAACAACTTAAAAGGAAAAACGGTTAAATTTTTTTATTTTAAAAGATCTTATTATTTATGGGGACAGTTCTCATTTTTTGTACTCTCAATGGCGATTTTGAAAAAGAAATATTGGTAACAGTTTAAAAAAATATATACTCAGCCAGCCCGGATGATAAATTCGATTTTTTAAATAATATTTTCCATGGAACAACAGGTTTTGTGTTAAAAAAAATCCACAATTTGTTTGATCCTTAAAAGTATTTTAAAAATCGGCCCTGCGTCGGGCGCCATATTGTTAAATAAACTGTTTAATTTTTAATAAAAATGAGGAATAAAAACTTTAATCTCAGTTGAAATTTCAAGATTTTGGAATGAAAAATAATAAAAAAAATATAATCTTATGCGAAATCCAACGATTTTTGAAGTGCAGCCCCCCGGTGGGCGCCATAATGTTTTTTTTTAACTACTTATTAACCAAATTTATTTCGTTTTTTATTATCTTTCCAGATTTTATAAAACAAACACATTACCCTGCGCATTGACATTTTAAATTGTCAGTCATCCTTTTTGAATACTCATCAAGTACTACGAAGTAAATAAAAAATCGCCACCATTGCTCCCTCACCGATTATCAACTCCATCAACAACACCATGAACGGCCAAAGCTATGAATTGAATCATACAAATGGCGACATCATCTCACAGAACCAACAGAAAGGTTGGTGGACCATTGGCCTGATCAATGGGCAGCATCGTTATATGACAGCCGAAACATTCGGCTATAAGTTGAATGCGAACGGTGCCAGCCTGAAGAAGAAACAATTGTGGACGCTGGAGCCATCGAATACAGGAGAAAGTGAGTAGAGAAATTTAATACGATTTTTTATATGATAGAAAGAAGGGATCGATGGGGGGTCAAGGAATATTTTTCCTATAATAGAAGTAAAAACTTCAGTTATATCCTCCACAATGAGATGGACATTCTTAATACCTAAATTCGTTCGGGATTTTTATATAGGAGCTATGCCACGGTGAATTATTGTCAGAAGGCGTTGTAGCCTCCGAAACATATAGATATACCAAATTAAAGACACTCAGGTTGGAAAATTGGACTAGGACCTCGAATATAACAAAAATGACATATAACCTTTGTATGGGATATATGTAGAAACATGGTTCCATGTTGAAAAAGGTCTGTATATAAGTTATCTACCCGCCAAGATTAACATCAGATTAGAGCCACTTCGGCTGAAAAATACGTCTTGGAAAATACTGGTTTAGGTCCTATAAAAATTCTTATTATAGGACCTAAATCTTTATATATAGAGGTAATTACAAAACATGGACCAATATTACACATTTCGACCTAACGATTGTAATCCTTCAAATTTTTACCTCAGAGCTTTCAGAGGTAGAAAAATCTCCTCAGGTCCCTCTGAGGTGCATTTTTCTATAGAAAAATCTCCTCAGGTCCCTCTGAGGTGTATTTTTCTATAGAAAAATCTCCTCAGGTCCCTCTAAGGTGTATTTTTCTATAGAAAAATCTCTTCAGGTACCTCTGAGGTGTATTTTTCTATAGAAAAATCTCCTCAGGTACCTCTGAGGTGTATTTTTCTATAGAAAAATCTCCTCAGGTCCCTCTGAGGTGTATTTTTCTATAGAAAAATCTCCTCAGGTCCCTCTGAGGTGTATTTTTCTATAGAAAAATCTCCTCAGGTCCCTCTGAGGTGTATTTTTCTATAGAAAAATCTCCTCAGGTCCCTCTGAGGTGTATTTTTCTATAGAAAAATCTCCTCAGGTCCCTCTGAGGTGTATTTTTCTATAGAAAAATCTCCTCAGGTCCCTCTGAGGTGTATTTTTCTATAGAAAAATCTCCTCAGGTCCCTCTGAGGTGTATTTTTCTATAGAAAAATCTCCTCAGGTCCCTCTTTTCTTTATTTTTCGTTGGGCGCCATTTAAATTGGAGATCACGAAAACATGAGGAGAATATTTAATCATGAAAAAATATTAAAATAAGGGGTACTTATACTAAGTGGAGGGGAGTGCAAAGGAGTGATTTTCCATCCACAACAAGGAGTAGAGATTTGCGTTGGGCCCAATTTAATTGTTAACTAATATTGCCTTACATTTGATGCAAAAAGGCTTTCCATATGACAATTGCACAATACAACAAAGGTTGCCACATTATTTATGTTTTTTTTTTTTTTTTTTTGAAATTATAAAAACCTAGGGGCAGATAATAGACGTAAGGGTCCTTAAGTTGGGCGCCAATTAAGTTTTCCTCTAAAAACTTGGAAAAATGCATTTCTTGTTCAGATATGTTTGATTCTGATGCCATTTATCTTACGTTGGATGTCATTTACTATTTTTGTATATATGATCGATTTGGCTACCAAGAGTTGAATTTTACGTTGGGCGCCAATTTTATTGTTAACTAATATTGCCTTACATTTGGTGCAAAAATGCTTTCCAGATGACAACCGCATAACATAACAACGGGTGCCACATCATTTAATTTTTTTAATTATAAGAAAATAAGGGCAGAAAATAGACTTAAGGGTACTTAAGTTGGGCGCCAATTAAGTTTTCCTCCAAAACTTGAAAAAATGTTCCTCCAAAAATTAAATTTGATGCAAAAATACTTTCCATATGACAACCGTACAACACAACAAAGGTTGCCACATTATTTATGCTTTTTTATGAAATTATAAAAAATAGGGGCAGATAATAGACCTAAGGGTCCCTAAGTTGGGCGCCAATTAGGTTTTCCTCCATAAACTTGGAAAAATGCATTTCTTCTTCAGATATATTTGATGCAAAAATGTCCATATGACAATTCCACAACACAACAAAAGTTGCCACATCATTTGTTTTTTGAAGTTATAAAAAATAAGGGCAGATAATAGACCTAGGGGTACTTATATTGGGCGCCAATTAAGTTTTCTTTCAAAAACATTTTTTTTAAATCCACGCCTTTTGGATAATTGAAAAAAATATTTTTTTTACGTTGGATCTCATTTACTAATTTTTTTTTTGTACATATGCTAGATTTGGCTACAAGGAGTAGAGTTTTACGTTGGGCGCCAATTTAATTGTTAACCAAAATTGCCTTACATTTGATGCAAAAATGTTTTCCTGGCTTCCTCAGTATCGGACTCTTATGATAATTCATAGGGCTATTTTTTCCGTTGGGCGCCATTTTATTTTTGACTAAAAATACCATACATTTCATATGAAAAAAACTTCCTAATTGACAAATAACCTCCCAACATGATTTTATCTAGTAATACATCTCATCCTAACGGTGGACAAATCGCCATCAGCATCATCAGATTCCCGGCAATTATAATTATGAGAATTCAAACAAAATTTTCCATTTGTCCATAACTGACAGATTATGCTGCGAATAGAAAGCAATTTATTATTATAAAAAAACTGTAAACTATTAATCAGGCTAAGAAAAAAATAATAAAAACAAAAATAACAACAACGATAAGCAATGCCAGAAGAAACAAAGCCATTTGAATGGATAGATCAACGGACAGACAAATGCAAAGATGGATGATGGTAACCAGGTATACAAAAACAATACCTGAGTAGCACAGTCTTGAATGATTTATGGTTTCAGCATTTATATTCATTTTTCTGCTACGACACTTGTTGAAGATCAGTGGAGGTTTTCCCATATTTTATAAGCCGGGAAAAATGGCCAAAAAAAATTGCCAACATTTACATTTATGGCAGACACGAATTGGCCAAAATTTGTTACCGTTTTTCATTCGTTTTCTATTTTTGCCAAAAGACAATTAATATCAATTTTCTATCCAGCTGGCAGACAGATTCCATGTAGCTGTTGTTGTTTTTTCGTATTTAATTTCAATTATATACCTCCCCAAAAAATACATGTTGCGCGAATTGTCGAACATGTGCCGAAGAAGAAGAAAAAAAATAGGAACATAAACAAACAGTTGCTCCATTGTCTCAAAATCAGCAACTGAATGCGATCAACGATGGAACATGTCCTACCTTCTATGGTAGCTAATAGGCTAAAATTACAAAAACATGTAGGCAATTGTTGGCTGTCCGAAATCGTTTCCGAACATGATTAGTGGTCAAATTGGATTTGGAGCTTTTCTCCATTTTCCCGTTTTTTAACATGGTAATCTCAAATGAGAATCAATGTTTGGCAATTAAAAGAAAGAAAAAAACAAAAACATAGAATGGATAGAGAGAGATTTTTGAGCCAATTGCTTCCTTAATGGATCATTAGGTGTTCGATAAGGAATTTGAGGTAATTGGCGATAAAACGGAATTTCATCAATGTGAGAAATATTTACGTGACTGAAAGGTTTGGAAATAATATGGGAAATTATTTTTTTAAATGGCAGTGATTATGGAAAAATTTGATATTATATTGATGATGATAAAAATAATTAGGCTTAGTTGAGCTTTGATAACATTTGTAATATGTCCACACCTTGATAAAAAAAATTTCCATTAAAAATCCAAGCATTGGAAAAATATCTCTTTTAATTTTAAATTTGCAAATCCGCAACTGGAAAATAGAAATTTAAAACGTTGGGATCGTTTCCTTTGTTGGGCGCCATTTAATTCTGTTAACTAAAATTGTTTTGCAACGAAGTACAAATTTTTAAAATTTACCTAAAATCGGACGAAAATATATATGGGAGCTATATCTAAATCTGAACCGATTTTCACGAAATTTAGCACACACCATTCTAGACCTAATTCAGTACGCTATGCCAAATTTAATGCAAATCGAAAGATAAAGATGGACTTGGGTACACCATTTACCTTAAATCGGACGAAAATATATATGGGAGCTATATGTAAATCTGAACCAATTTTCAGGAAAATTAACACACATCATTCTAGACCTAATTCAGTACGCTATGCCAAATTTCGTGCAAATCGAAAGATATATAGGGACTTTGGTGCACCATTTACATTAAATCGGACGAAAATATATATGGGAGCTATATCTAAATCTGAACCGATTTTCTGGAAAATTAACACACATCATTTCAGATCTAATTCAGTACGCTATGCCAAATTTCGTGTAAATCGAAAGATATATAGGGACTTTGGTACACCATTTACCTAAAATCGGACGAAAAAATATATGGGAGCTATATGTAAATCTGAACCGATTTTCACGAAATTTAACACACATCATTCTAGACCTAATTCAGTACGCTATGCCAAATTTCGTGCAAATCGAATGATATACAGGGACTTTTTTCCAATTTCAATATGGTTCGTCCTCGGACCAAATAAATGAGCTGTGACAAATTTCATCCAAATCGGACTATAAATGCGATCTGTATTTTGTTTACAATATAATATCAACAGACGGACGGACATCCATAAATCGAATTAGAAAGTGATTCTATGCATATTCTCAAAAGAAACCATGTGTCTATCTCGTTTCCTTTTGCCTGTTACATATGCCCAAAGACATAATACCCTGTACCACAGTGTGGTGAAGGGTATAAATAGAGGGGATGATAATGGCCCTAAGGATATATAAATTGGGCGCCAAGGAAATGTTTCCTACAAAAACGACATAAAATCAATTTTTTTTTTAATAAAATAGATTCTTACGTTGGGCGCCATTTGCTATTTTTTGACATAACAACAATTCTTTTTGAAAAAAACCAAAGCTAGTGAAAAGCCTCTAGGAAATCAACGCATGGGGAGGACCTTCGAAATTGTACTCTTGCGGAGGGCCTATATATTGGGTTTCTAAAAAATCTACGTCTTTTTGTTTTTCTTTTTTTTAAGGGTCGTTGAAAAAATATTCAATTAAAAATCCAAGCCTTGTTTGGGCCTTGA